CTGTAGGACTGCGCTAAAATGTCCTGCACGCAATGGCACTGCCGACTACTAGATTTCAAGAAGAACGATCGCGTGTTGCTCACCATCGAATCTCGAATTTGGGTGAAAACCTTGGTGGAAGAGGCTTTTTACGACGCGAGTATTTCGTCGATTGCCGTAGCCCAGGTGAAAAAGTTGCCTTACAAGCATCCAGACATCGATCTGCCAGTGCGATACGCCATCGTAAGAACAGTTTCTCTGTCCAGTGCATTTCTTTCACTCAGCCTTTGTTCAGGTAAGCACTCTGGTCAGCCCGAAAGATCTGGGGAAAGTCAGTCGTGGCGTGCCTTACTGGCTAATTTTCGTCGCTGTGTTAGCCGGACTCACTTGCCTCATACTGCTGAGTCTACTTCTTTGGAAGGTGAGTGAAGATGGAGGTAAATTCTCATGCTGATCGTGATGTTCTAGCTGGGCTTCTTTAAACGCAAGCGACCTCCACGTGGACAAGCACTGCTGTCGAAACCGCCCGAAGCTGAACATTACGGTTACAGTAGCTATAGCGTGCCTGCTCACGGATATACGACCTATTCGAATCCACAATATAGGCAGAAGTTGTTATAAGCGCCGCCGTGATTGCAGCTGATCAAACAGAGCTTGGCTGTGGTTTGTCCGCTTTCTCGCTTGCTATTACAAGCAAACGTGACGGCATACTTGCTAGTCGTTCTATACATATGTTTCGATATTTGTGCTGTTCGCATTCAACACTACAGACGAGTGGCTAGTCTAGTCTTTTGCCGAAACCTGTGGAAAATGCGCACCGAGGATCGATGGCGATAGAAACTATTTATTGTCTTGCTCTCAACTCTGTACTACGCTGTGCAGATGGTGAAAACAAGTGTTCGTCAGGGCGTTTAGCAGTCGTTACTCCGTCACGGTCTTTAGCAGTCGGTTTACCAAATACTTTCTTTCATGATCCTCTGCTCTGACGAACTGAAGATTGTCTGTTCGCTTGGATGTAGCCAAAGCGACTTGTGTAAAGTTTCCAGTTGCTCATTTGAACGTATTTTTCATGTTTCTGTTTATCTGTCTTTTGTTTTCTAGTAAAGTTTCGATTAAGATAAAAATTAAATTCAAATTAATTAATTAAATAGAATTTCGTTGTAATGGAAGCAACCAACGTTGGTTCAAAATATACGAACGTAAAGCAAATTGTCAT